GCCCGGTTTCATTTCCACTGTCGTCAGTTGTGCCATTAACCGACTCTGATTGACACTGTCTGTTGCCTGATACAGGTTCTTCAAGTGATTGTACGCGAGCTCGGCGGAGTTTCCGTATCCTCGGTAAGACCAAATGTTCTGCTGCTGGTTCGGTGTGACGTTGCGCAGTAGGATTGTATACGCCATCATGGATTGATATGTATATTGCTGCTTGTCGTATTGCATTCCGTGCGTTGGATATGGCAGGGACCCGTCGAAGGAGCCAAGAATCTTCGCGCCTTCCATCATCAGCTCGAATTCGAATGACCAGGTAAAGAAGTCCTTTCCGTCGAACGGTCTTGACGTCTGCAGTTTTAAGACGTGCGCAAACTGCGACTGAACTTGAAGTGCATCTAATGTCTTCTCTTGCTCAGGTGAAGGTTGCTGGCGCGGCATGAAGCTGACGGAACCGCGCTGAGGTTCGTATGGGGCAAAGGTAGGTTGTTGTTGCTGATTTCCTCGTGTGTAGGATGAACCGTCGAGGCTCATCGGTGTTGCGATATTGTTGTTGCTGTTGTTTGACTGCGCAGGTGCCCCTTGCTGGTGTTGTTCGTAGAAGGACATGAAGGAGAAGAATTTCTCCATCATGTCTGGGTCGAAGCCCGCGACTTGATTTGCGGGAGTTTCGGTAGACCCAGCTGCCGGTCTTGTTGCTGTGCCCTCCTCTGTCTGTAGGCCAGAGGCAGGAGGTGGAATAGGAGTAGTACCGGGAGAGCCGTTAGAGGAGCTTCTCTCCTTCTGCGTTGCCATGCCTTGTGATGATGTAGGTGTCTTAATTGTAGTTGAATTTGTCCTAATAGCTCTCATACCATGTTGGGCTAAGAAAAGCCCTTAGGATCTTTGCAGGACTAAACTCTGAGTAGGACAATGTAATAGCGGAAGCGTTTAATGAAGAGTCTGTGAACCACCTTGCGCTGGTATGTGAGGGCAAAGTCGATTGATTAAAACAAAGAGATACAAGCTTTTATAAGAGTACAAGGGAATATGAAGGGTTATAACTAATAATTGTTTTGCTGTTGCTGTTGCGGTTCGATACAGTGACGACTCGGGCAACTGCTCAATAACGAGTCAGTTGTTTGTCCTTGCTGTCGCGCTGTACTTGTCAGGTCAAAGGTCGCTGACCTTTGACTTTCGCGTAACCTCCAACAATCGTTCAACCTCCGAGGGTTGACTCACCGATGCTTCGCTGTATTTTGCTTCGCTTATAACTCAGTGCTTCGACACGACAGAGGCGCTTAAGTTACTTGTTTCCAACACAGTGGTCCTTCTCGAGGTGACACAAGGAAAGGCAGCACCAGCCCGCAGCTCTCTCCCTTCAATGGTGCAAGTGGCATCACTTTCATCCATGCAAGTCTCCATGCCTCAGAATACCCTCATGTATTCAGCATCTTCACTGGAAACAAACATGACAGCAACAGGAGGAGCAGCAGCACCAGCGCCGGTAGCAGCAGCAACAGCAGCTGGAGCAGTAGCAGCAACATCACATTCACTTGTGTCATCGCATTCACCCTGTACCAATCTCATTTTCACAGAATACATTCATATCCGCAGCTTCATTCACAGCTGTAGCAACAGTGCCAACAGTAGCGTCACCATCACCATTAACGCCATCAGCTGCAGCAACAGAAACCGCAGCACCAGCACTGATAACAGCAGCACCACCACCATCACCACCAGCAGCTGAAGCAACAGTAACAGGCATGGGTTGCTCGGTTGCAGCATGTTCCAAGGCCGACTCCAATGATAAGCTACTCCAACTATGGGATGTGCTCACACCTGCAGCTCCCGCATCTCCCTCCTCCTTTAACCATCCAGCTCCCCAGCCACGAAGCCATAGCCCCTTACCACATCCCTCAATGTACAGCCCCCTGCCGAATTCCCCAAGCCACTATCCCCTTCCCCAGCCCCCAAGGCACGACCCCCTTCCCCAGCCCCCAAGGCACAGCCCCCTTCCCCAGCCCCCAAGGCTCGACCCCCTTCCCCAGCCCCCAAGGCACGACCCCCTTCCCCAGCCCCCAAGGCACGACCCCCTTCCCCAGCCCCCAAGGCACAGCCCCCTTCCCCAGCCTGAAAGGGACAGCCCTCTTGCATCGCACATGCATGGTGGAATCGAGAATGACATGGATAAGTGGTTGAGTACGGGCATGGATGTCGGCTTGGGAATGGATGAGGGCATGAGCATGGCAGAAAGCATGCACAAGGGCATGGTCGCAGAGAACATCAGGGCCATAGAGGCAAGCATGAGCACCCAGAGTGCACCGGAATGCATTCATGATTCGAGTGGAGGCAGCCAAGGTTGCGGAGGAAGGAGGATGCAATTGGGTGATAACAAGAGTGATAGTGTGTGTGTATGTGTGGATATGGTTGATATGTGTGCATCTGTATATGCGAATGACGTGTTGTATGCGTTTTTGTGGGCGTGGGGGGTGTAGGAGAGTAAGGAAAGGGAAGAGAGGGGGGGAGGGGGGGTAACGGGGGGGGAGGGGGGGGGGGGTGTGGTTTGGTAACATGGATGCGTGTGGAAAATCGATCACGTTTCTTGTAACAGATTTAGTAAAATATTATTATTATTGATAGTTATTTCATGGTACTACCATCTTATGGTACAACTTGTTGCTAGTGAGAGGTGTAATCTTGAAACACCTTCTAGCTGAACAATGACCATTCATTGACGGGTATTCGAAGTCACTTTCCCTTTACCTTCCTCTCTACATTATCGTTGACTGGGCTCGCGTCACATCGTCACGTTGACTGGGCTTCCGTAACGGAAACATACACGGCACGATTCTGTTCAGTGTACACGATGACCGCATTTCGTCAGCCCGCGCCCGCGCAGAGCTCAATGTTGCCCGGCCGCCACACATCCCTCCCTCCCCTTCCCGCCATGCATCTCCTACTGTCACTCACCTCACGTGTCACCTCACTAACTTCAAGAAACCTCACATGCCCTCCAATCGCCTCTTACCGTACCCATTCATCTCTTAACGCTTTGATTTTATTCCACACCCATCACCGTCTCCTCTTTCCTTTTTCTGCGTCTCATCTTCAATTTTCTCAGTGTGTCCGCCCAAACAAGCTCCATTTGGTGAAATGCAGTTCCTCAAGCATTGTCTCAACCAACCGCACTGTCTGCACAACTCGCGAGAGACAAACGGAGACGTAACGTCAGAAGGCGTACATTTCGTAATTGTGATTTATTTGTTCCTGACTCTAGATTCTGATTCGCTCTACTTGAACGAGAGGAACTTGTCTGGACTGGGGGATAGCAGACTTATGGCGTCGCGTAGATGCAGGACAAGATGGCAGGTGACGTATGGTGTTGCGTCACGAGTAGTAGAACCATCGTGTAATTTTACGGTCGCGGGATGGAGGGAGCTGAGAAAATGCTCTCAGAGTGTACATCCTATCTCAGCAAAGACCCTATCTTCCCAGAAGCCCTGTCCTTAGAACTGTGTTTTTACGTAGTAACTTTGAACCCTAAGTCCGAATTGATAGATGATCTAATCATGCCTCACGAGTCCAGCTCTGCAGAAAGGCATAGCGGGTGGATGGGCAACGGAAGGAACGCATTATCCCCCAACGAAACAAACGCCGAGGCGAAGGCTTTGCGACAGAATTCTGTTGCAGTTCCGTTTCCATCCCATCCCCGTGATTGGTCTACGTCCCCGTAAATCAGACAGGACAGTAACGGCGGCGCGGCTCGGCTTTTCAAACAACACTGTACTAGCCACAAGTCGTGCTACGATATTAATCTCCAATGTACCAGGGGTACCACATCAGATTGCCCCATTTTTCGTGCGTCGTCCCGTTCGATGCATGCTCGATGCCTTCGCAACTCGCAGTGCAGCCATACTGATTTTCTGGAGCGCCTCACGTAGTAACGGACCAGATTCTGTCTGTTCGTGCGTTGTCCGATGCGAAATTCTGCTTCTCGCAACTCATTACCGCCAAATGCGGACCTGTGGGCCAAACGGTCTCTTCACTGTTCCCTCTTGTAGGCATTGTCATTGCCTGCATATGTGTTGCACCAGTGAGTTAAGTCAAGTGAGCAGCATTCGTGCGCGCAACTTGTACCGAGGGACCAACCACCGCTACTATCAGCACACAAATACAGTAGAGGCTCGCGACTGTTTTCCAGCCGCCTGAGATCGCGGAGTTTTCTCTGCCAGGAAGCATTTGAACCGCAGATGTTACCACTGAAGCAACGATTTCCGCGCTTCGAGCACAACTTGAATCCGAGTCGAGAGTTGAGTCAACGCCGTAACATTCTTCCGAGTAGTTCACCCGTCGCTCGTCCTCACAAACCCAGGGTTTCATTCCAGAAATAAACACATACGAGAACAGACTCTCTTTGATTCTGAGTCGGAAACAACGACGCAGCTATCCGTCCGTGGCTGTGTTTCATAAGTTCGTTTTCTTCATCCTTTCAAAGGCGAGGCAGTGACTTGATTGTCACGGTGCCTTGGCTGTCGTTGCTGAGAAAGGGATTTTACTAACGCTGAGAAGCTGAGAAGCTGAGAGAAGCCGTGCAGACGTGAAGCTGCGCGGCCGTGCCAGCAGCCAACGGGTCATCTCCACAAGGGCAGCACAGCTTGTTGCATAAGCATGGCGGCTGGAGCAAGGACACGGATCTTCGGACGTACCTGGACCCCCGAGGTGAGCCGCTGTAGCATTTCGCCTGTTCTTGAGTTTGTTCTTAGTCCCCTCCTCCCTCTCCCCTCTCTAACATGCAAATACCACTGCTGAGCATTCTGTTTCATGGCTTCAATCAACTTTTTTGTTACCTCTCGATTCTTTCAGGCGGACTGAACCCGTTTGACACTGCTCAGCGTTTCCCCTGTCCTTGAGTCCCGTCCACCGCCCAGTGTTGCCTTTCACTGAAGTATTTTTTTCTCTCTCTCCCTCCCAACTATTTTCTCAATCTCAGGAGGACCGCAAGCTGCTGCTGCACGTGGCAGCACATGTTGCCTTTCAATGAAGTATTACCTCCTCTTCCTCCCCTCCTTTTCTCAATCTCAGGAGGACCGCAAGCTGCTGCTGCACGTGGCAGCACATGTTGCCTTTCAATGAAGTATTACCTCCTCTTCCTCCCCTCCTTTTCTCAATCTCAGGAGGACCGCAAGCTGCTGCTGCACGTGGCAGCGCACGGCACGCGGCAGTGGAGGGCCGTTGTCAACGCAGGGCTGTTGCCAGGCCGGGACAGCAAGGCCTGCTGCAACCGATTCATCGTCTTGAGAAGGTAATTGATTGTGCTCTAGAGGTGATTTTGACCTTTCATCGTCTGCAGTATTTGAACAGAAACACATTACACAGATTATGTTTTTGTTTTTGCTTTTGTTTTTGTTGCTGTTTCTGTTTTTGTTTTTGCTTTTACTTTTGCTTTTTCTTTTGTTCCGTTTCAGGAGATTGCATGCAATTTAGCTCCCATGGTTTGTGTGTGTGCGTGCGTTTGGAGGATTGTCTCACCCTAACAACTATTCCTTGTCTTCCTGTTTCCTCCGTCTTTTCTGCTGCAGGAAGTACTTCGACTTCCAGGAGAGATTTCAGGAAATGGAAATGGAAATGGAAACTCCTGAGATTCCTCTCCCACTGCAAAAGGCTGCCACCACACAAGGGTCCGAGATTGACAACAGAAGCGCAGAGGACGTTTTAGCCGATTTGTCTCAGAAGAATAATACCATTGTCACCACGGCGCATGCTGCAGCACCTGGGTTTGATTATGACAGCGTTTCTTTCGAATTTGCTGCACCTGCTCCTGTTATTGAGGTGTCTGCTAGTGAGTATGCTGCCATGGAGTACGGTTCGCCTGGGTCAAGCAGCGGGTCTGTTGCTGCTGCTGCTCCTGCTACTGTTGAAAACACAGATGCGAGTGCTGCTGCAGTTGGTAACCCTGCTGCTGCTGCTGCTGCTGCTGCGGCAACGGAAGCAGCAACTTTGAACCTTCTCCTAGCCCGACCACACGAATCTGCACATGAGGCGACTGGTGTACAAACAGGGGCACTGCCGATGGAGCTTTCTGCATGGAGTGCTGCTGCTGCTGCGGCAGCTTGTGCGGCAAGGGACGCAGGCATGATCGACCTTCTCCTAGCCTCACCACACGAGCCTGCGCATGAGGCGACTGGTGTTGATTCAGGGGCACTGCCGCTGGAGCTTTTTGCTTGGAGTGCTGCTGCTGCTGCTGCTGTTCCTGCCCCTGCTCCTGCTGCTCCTGCTTCTGCTGCTCCTGTTCCAGCTGCTGCCGCTTCTACTCCTGCTGTTGCAGCCCGCCTGGAAAGGGGATCTGCTGTTCAGTCGGAAGCAAGAATGCTGAATGTCACTCCTCGTCCCACACTGTATGGGACTGAGCGCTGGGCTGTTCACGCGAAGAGGTTTCGTACAGAGACCCCCAATCGGGCTCCCGATTGGGCTGCTCAAGAAGAGACTGTCACAGATTTACAATTGAGTCGTTTTCAAGAGTGCGAAGCTGGCAGGTTCCTGGAAGCTGCTTTGCTGGACCTGATAAGCAGAGGAGCAGCAGCAGCACCGTCTGCTTGCAATCAGACTGACTCCCTCACAGTGTCATCTTCAATGCCCGTTGAACCAGCCAAGGAGATGCGAGAGGGAGGCAGCAGATTCATGCTCGGAGTCGATAGGCTGGCATTAGAACTAAGCTGTGAATCGGAAGGCCTGCGGAAAGCAAGCTCCAGGGAGCAGGAGGCAGGTTTGGCGATGAATTTACCAGGAACCTTCCCGACCTTGGATGATAGTGAAAGTGTGGGGGAGTGGCTGGCTTCCCAAGACTGCTGGGCTCCAAGAGAGGGTTGCACAGTCAGCTTTGAGAATTCTCAAAAGACTCTGACAGAAGGTTGTGCAGTTTCATGTAACGAGCCTGGGAAACCATGGGTGAATGGAGAGTGTATCAGGGGTTCGATTGGGAGGTACTGGTCACAATCTGGGTCCGGCAGCACTGGTTGTGCCGGTTATTTGCGACCAGACTTGTTGTTTGAGGCCATGGCTAATGGGAGTTTGTATTCCAGTGAGAATGCTCCTAGATTATGAGTGCATGCTATGTTTGCTTGTTTGCTGGTCTGTTTGACTCCTCGTTTGTTCTCCTTAGGGTCATGGCCTGTTAATTCATGACCCACAATTGGGGCTTAGGATCATGAAAAACTGAAGACCGTAATTTCAAGTTCCTGAATCCTGAAATATATCCTGATATATATTTCAAGATCTTGATATATCCGTACCTTCATGACCCTTAATTTCATGACCCACAGCGAGAGGGAAGAAGGGGGGGGAGGGGGGGGGGGGGGGGGGGGGTGTTGGATGGGGGGAGGGGAGGGGTTAGGGGCTTTTTGTCAGATGTTACGGTATACCGTCATCACCCGAATATAAGACAGTGTTGAATAGAAGACAGGAGGTGTCTATTATCCAGGTGTCTCTTATAAACGGGGTAGCCTCATTATAAGACACCTATTTGTGTGTACGAGTTAAGCCAGTGTAGGGGTTAGGGGCAATCGTATGACGAGGGGGTATCTTCTAAACGGTTCTTCGTCCATTTATAAGACTTATAAGACACACTAAACCGTCCCAAATACAAGACAACCCAAGCATTTTTGCCCGTGTACGAGATAAGACATATATGTCTTATATCCGGGCGATGACGGTAGTCTTAGTGATGTCTGTCATATGGGGTACAACAGTCAGGGTTAGGTTTATGGTTTTGTTAGTCAAACCATCATTCCGTTCTTAAGATGGTATCACCTAGGTTAGGATCCTGAAGGATCTTGTTCCTCTCGTTCACGTCCGTAGCGCCCGAGCCTGTCCCATACCCTAGTGCCCGTTATGCCCGTACTGTCCCCTACCGCCTATCGCGCTCGTTCCTCTCGTGCCCTAGAGACTAGCGCCCGCTGCGCCTGCCGTCACGTCGCCCCTGCTGCCCCTGCTGCTGCTGCTCCTGCTGCGGCGGCTGCTGCTGCTGCTTCTTCTACTCCTGTTGCGGCGACTGCGAGTCCTCCAGCTGCGGCTGCTGCTGCTCCAACTGCTCCTGCAGCTGCGCCTGCTGTTGCTGCTGCTGCTCCTCCAGCTGCGTCTGCTGCGGCTGCTGCTGCTGCTGCCGCTCCTCCAGCTGTTGTAGCTCCAGCTGCTGCCGCTCCAACTCTAGCCCCTCTCGCTCCAACTCCAGCTTCTCCTCATGTGCACGCCGAAGACGGGCCTGGTGCCGGGTCGGGTAGGGGTGGGGGGGAGAAGTAGTACCTGGGGAGGTGGTAGCCCCAGGACCGCTCGCCCTAGGACCGCTCTTTAAAGCACTAGTCGCACCACCCCCGGAGCCAGCACCACCAGCAGCAACGCGGCTAGACCTAGACTCTCCAGGTCCCACAGAGGGCACACCCGCACCCCCAGTCGTAGCACCTCCAGGGACAGCTCGACCAACACCAGCTCCCCGAAGACTAGAACCTCATGCAGACACGGGCCCACGTTTCCTCCTCCTGACCCCACCCCAGCCTTTTTCCCCTGTTATCAGCCCCCGTTGTCCCCTCCTCTTTCCCACGCTTGGACTTATCGCTCTCCTCGTGCTCGTCCTTCGTCCCCTGTCCCTGTCACTGACCTTCGTACTATCCTGTTCCGTCCTAGTCCGCCTCGTTCACCTCTGTCTGTGCTTCCGTCTCCTCCTGAGTCGGCCCTCACTACTTCCCTCTCCACTCCTGCCACTGACTACTATCGCACGTACCGACCTGTTGTCTCCCGCGTTCTTGCCTCTCTTGTTATAGACCCTCGTGCCTCTCTGTCCTCTGTCTCCACTCTTACTGCCGCAGTCACTGAGTTTGACTCTACTTGCCGCCTTAACTACGCCACCAGCCTTGTGGCTGCTCCTCCTACCAGTCCTTTGGCCGTCGGGGGTGAGTCTGCCATTGGCTGTGTCGCCCTAGAGGACAGACAGTTTGAGCTAGAGTTCCTGGCAGCCGCTTCCCCTCATCTCTATGCCATGCTGCTCGCTCCTGAGGGAGACCTCGACGCCCTTAACATACCGACTCCTCGCACTTACGCTGAGACAGTGTCAGGGCCTTGGGCATCTCAATGGAGAGTTGTCATGGACGCAGAGATGGCCTCCTACAGATCCACAGGCACCTACGTCGACGAGGTTCCCCCCCCTGGGGCGAACGTAATCGATGGCATGTGGATCTTCAGGGTGAAGCGGCCATCGGGATCTCCTCCGGTCTTCAAGGCGCGCTATGTGGTTAGAGGTTTCAGTCAGCGCGAGGGAGTTGACTTCTTTCAGACCTTCGCGCCTACCCTGAAGATGACCACTCTTTGTGTGTTACTTTACGTAGCAGCAGAGAGAGGCTACGAGCTACACTTTCTCGGCTTCTCCACTGCCTTCCTTCAGGGTAGCCTACCCGAGGAGGTCTGGGTTGCGTCATCCCTCCGCGTTTACTGGCACTTCCCCTCCTGGGACCCAGTGGAGGCTGAGGCGACCGGTCTACGGTCTCAGTCAGGCTCCTCATGAGTGGCACGACACCCTTCATTCTACCCTGTCTGACCTCGGTTTCCAGCCGTCTTCTGCCGACCCGTCGCTGTTTGTTCGTCGTGGCTCCACACCGTTCTTTGTACTGGTCGACATCAATGACCTGGTTTTTGCCACTGTTGACAGGGTTGCTTTGGCTGACGTGAAGCGCGAACTGCAGAAGAGACACGTGCACTGACCTTGGTGAGCTGCGCCACTACCTTTGCCTGCAGATCACAAGGGACAGAGCCGCTAGCAACATTACGCTTCCACAGTCACACATGGTGCAGCAAGTTCTTTAGCGGTTCGAGCTTCAGCACTCCATTGTACAGCGCACACCTCTTGCTGTTGACCATAGGCTCACAAGACTCTTTCCTGACGAGCCGTTTGAGCCTAGTGGTCCCTACGCACAGCTTGTGGGCTGCCTCATGTACCTGATGACTTGTACTCGCCCAGACCTCGCCTTCCCTCTCAGCATCCTTGCTCACTTAGTTGCGCCAGGGAGACACCATCTTAATTATTGGACAGCTGCTGTGAGGGTGGCGAAGTACCTAGCAACGACATCAGGCATGGGGCTGGTTCTTGGAGAGAGACAGTATGTCGTACTTATTGGACACTGTGACTCTTCTTACACTGACGACTCAGAGACTCATAGGTCTACTCAGGGGTAATGCTTCAGCCTTCTGGAGCTGTTTCGTGGAGGTCCACGCGTTCCTCCTCGGTCTTGACCTCTACCGCTAAGGCTGAGATCTACGCTGCAGCAATGGCTGCACAGGAGCTGCATTGGTTGATCTTGTTGCTCACTGACATTGGTGAGTGGCTGAGCTCTGCACCGACCTTGTTCACTAACAACAAGGCGACGATTCTCCTCTGTCAAGAGCCGCGACAGGAGAGCAGAGTGAAGCACATCAACATCAGGTACTTTCTTTTGCGAGAGTTGCAGTGGCTCGGACAGGCTCCCTTTGACCCTGTGGAGTCTGAGGCCAACACTGCAGATATCTTCACCAAAGCCCTTCCGCCTTGTGACCGGCAGAGGTGTTGTGTGCAGTTAGGTCTCGTTGACACAAGGTCTCACCTTGAGTAGTTATGAGTTCTCTGCTTGCTTTGTTTGTACGCTTTATATATACCTCTGTGAACTCTTGAACTGGCTTTGTGGCTCTTTTGCTTGTGCTCAGAGTGTGTGGTGACATTGTGACCCACCCTGAGCTTTGTTTCTTTGTGACTGGTCTTGTGACTGTACATTGTTGGTTTGCTTGACACCCCTCACTTAGGCTATGGGGGTGTGTCAGATGTTATAGTCTTAGTGATGTGTGTCATATGGGGTACAACAGTTAGGGTTAGGTTTATGTACTCCAACCAACCTTAGTCAAACAATCATTCCGTTCTTGACACTTATGTAAAACTATATTCACATTAGTATATTTCCTGTAGTGCGTTGCATATTAGGGAGTAAATAAAATCCCACGACACTTCCCTCCCTTAACCTAATCTCATCATTCGGCCATAGGAGAGGCTGGAGCTGGCGTTGTAGCAGCAGGAGCTGCAACAGCAGCAGCAGCCGCCGCCCTTGCAGCCGCTGTCTCCACTTGTGAGTGGCATTTGGGCCCTTGGTTTTCCTTCCCCTCCTCTAGACTTCTCACTGTCTCCCCTCGCTTACTGACCTACATCCTCCCTCCCCCCCCCCCCCCCCCCCCCCCCAAGGACTCATTTCCGACTGTTTTCTCTCCTCTTTTGTTGTACCGCATGACTAGACAGTTCGCTGTCCTACTCGTGCACGTCCCTCGTCTCCTTTTGACGACCTCCACTCTGTCTTACTTCGTTCAAGTCCCCGTCGTTTTCCGCTACTGTTTGTTCTCCTGTCACCTCTTGAGTCGTCTCTTACGGCCTCCACCTCTACCCTACCACTGACTATTACCATGGCACTCGTCCTGTCATCACTCGTGTTCTTGCCTCTCTAATCAAAGACCGTCGTGACTTTCTGTCGTCTGTCTTGGCTCTTAATGCCAGTGTCACTGACTTTGCCGCCACCTGCCACCTTGACTAGGCCACCTGAGTGGTGCCTGCCCATTCTCTGTCCGTCGGGGGTGAGTCTGCCCTTGGCTGTGACGTCCTAGAGGACAGGTAGTTTGAGCTGAGATTCTTGGCGGC